AACAGTAGGTAAAGAAAAATAATTAACTTATCAAGAGTTATTAGAACAGGAACATGGAGAACATAAGATGACATCAAGAGAACAATTGATGCAAAGGGATTTAGTTTTCAATGGTCTCCAGATACACAGTTAAGAGAAAGTTTTAAGGTAGATAAGCATTTAGAATTGAGCCGCAGAAAACAATTTGAAGTTGAACTATGTACAAATAATTAACATGTAATTGCTAAGATGTATACATTTTTTTAGAAATTTGAAACAGGTAAGTGTGATAAAGTAGATTAAGAACTTTGGATTACAATATGCAGTGGGAAAATATGTCGTTAAAATGGTTGAAGTTTAAATCGGCAGCTAAAAGAATTTTTATAGAATGATGTACTATTAGTATATGGCTCCAGAAAAAATTGTCTAGAACGGTATAAACCAGTGGTGGCGAACCTATGGCACGGGTGCCAGAGGCGGCACTCAGGGCCCTCTCTGTGGGCACGCGCATCATCGTCCCAGTCCTAGGCCTTCAGCTGGGTTTTATAAAACCTTTTCATTTTAGGCCTCCGCCGCCGTGTGCAAAAAAAAAAAAAGGTTCAATCAGTCAATTTCAACTTCTCATGAAAAAAAAGATCTTGCAAAGTTGGAATTGATTGATTGAACTTTTTACTCCTACCCAGTCTGCCGTTACCACCGCAGACACGCCCACCCAATCGGCCACACCCACCCAACGGGCCACACCCACCCGGCACTTGACAATGCATAAGTGGGTTTTGGGTTGCAGTTTGGGCACTCAGTCTCTAAAAGGTTCGCCATCACTGGTATAAACTAAGGTACTTCAGATTTATGTTGGAAATGTGATCAATGTGAAGAGTCGTTTTCTCACGCTTGGTGGCCTTGGTAGACATGTCTGGGTTCAAATACATGTGATGATTCAAAAAATGTTAAAGACCAACATTCAGCTGAAACCAGAACTCGTCTTAAGCAACAGCAGCCAGTTTCCAGGGCCATCCACTAATAGTAAGGTTGCCTTCCACAATACTGAATAATGTGTGTCCAATTATCTATCATATTTATCTGAAAGGAAGATGACCTGTTAATATGATTTCCACTCCATCCTTTTCAAAGAAAGATTAGAAATCAAATAGATTAGAAAAACTGATGGGCCTATATGACTCTCCCACCAATTAACTAGAAAAAATGATTAATTAACAGTATTTATGATGGATAATGTGGACAATTCATTTCAGTTGATCGGATCTTTTTATTAGAATATTTAAGTCCTTAACTATCACCGAGATATCTTAGGACTTAGGGCAATAAATCTCACAAATTACATGCTTCTTTTCTGAAATTATACTTTCATAATATAAACTTTTTTTGTTTAATTTTTGCAGCCCTATTAATTGTAAGGTTTGTCCAAATTAAATTGCCTCTATTTTAAAACATATAAGCCTTAGAAAACATTTGTTTTTATCCCAAATAACTTTTCCATTCCCAGCAGTCATTTAAAACAGGTTTCTTTGTTTATGGGATAATACATGCCTTTATTTTTCTTAATTGGTTAGGTTCTCAGCCAATACCTTCTTTACAATTCCTGTCTCCTGCTTGTTACGGCCATCTAAAGGACTTACAGACTCAATGTTTTGATTCAAAACGGTTCTTGCATCTAATTCCTGATCAGCCAGTTGTCTGCAGCTTGCTACTCTGTAATAGGAATGAAACAGCATGGGATGAACTAAAGGTATTCAATCTCTTTATATATCTTGTAGCAAGCAGTAGATGAAGGGGCATATTGTTAGAAAGTTAGTCTCTTGGTTAATGATTAATGTCTCTACACATGAAACCAATAATGACCTTAGACCATTAAACGTTTGTGGAAATCAGCATTGTACTACTAATAAGATGCTTGTGGCAGTCTTTCACAAATAACCAAAGTGGACCAGGTCTGGAGAGTTTGTTAATGAGAGGAAAGATGATTTAGGGAAGGGATGCCAGGCAGACAAATACAATCTATAGGCAAGAATATAATTGGCATAAAGTTTGGAGAAAAATATAATTGTCATGAGCGTCCTCTCTTTCTTGTCAAATGAAGTGAAGCTGCAGGTGTAAGTGTAGGCCTCTTTCAGCCTCTCTGTACAGGTAGTCCTCAATTTACAACAGTTCATTTACTGACCGGTCAAAGTTACAACGGCATGGAAAAAAGAGACTTATGACCGTTTTTCACAGTTACGGCCTTTGCAGCATCTCCCCATGATCATGTGATCAAAATTCAAATGCTTACCAATGGATTCATATTTATGACCATTGCTTTGTCCCAAGGTCATGTGATCCTCTTTTGTGACCTGACGAGCAAAGTCAATGGGGAAGCCAAATTTGCTTAATAACTGAGGCAAGAAAGGTCGTAAAATGGGGCAAAACTCACTTAAGAAATGTCTTACTTAACAACAGAAATTGTGGCTCAGTGGTGGCCGTAAGTCAAGGACTATCTGTATTGTGAAAATATAAATAGAGAGGATCATGAATGTGATTTTAGGGGTTTCTTTAGGAAAAGAGGTAGAATAAAACTATAATAATGAAAATATTTGGACAACATGGAACAAGTGGATATTTAACAGTGTTTTGGACAGTGGGTATAAGTGTTGTTATGGGGCAAATATTCTAATAGTCTGTCAGGAGCTGATGAAATCAGACTGAGAGGCATTAAATTGGGTTTCTTGATTTACATCTGCTGCTTTTAATGACCATTTTAAGGAAATTAGCATGATAAGTATATTGGCACAGAAATCTTCTCACCTTTTTTTTAATCAAAGATAAGGTGATAAAAGAAAAATGAGAAATGATTAGATAAATGGGGCTTTGCAAAGTGTCTGCAAATAAGCTAAATTCCATTGAGATTAACTCTGGGTTTGTTTAAATCAAGAGATTATTGGTTTAGTTCCTAGAAGTTAATGGGGTTTCCATATCACACGCTGAGTGCAATTGTCTGAACAGAGTAATGACAGAAGATATTGTAGAATTCTGCTGAGAAGAAGAGTGGTGTAATCCTTAGGGTCAAGAAAATCTCTCCCATGCTTGAAAAATAGATAATTGCCGAAAGGAAGGGAAAAGAAAAAACCTTTTACAAGCTTAATCAAAAGTAAACATTTTTAATCGCAAAGGGGCATATTTCTTACTAGGCACAGCTTTATCTGACTAATTACTTGGCTGCAGGCTATTGAATCACAATTTATACCATGGCAGTGCTTGCAGTGTTCCCGATCATCACACCTACTTAGCATGGATGGGTCATAATCTGGGGTCTGTTCCAGTCTAGTTTTGCTTCTGGGAAATGGATGGGAGAAGGAAGATAGAAAGCTTCTTAGGAAATTTATCCTTGGTTACATACTGCTACAGGTCAGCCATCAGCCAGTTACCAAGATTATATCGCAGTAGCTTCAAAATAAAATAATCGTGAGGTTTTTTTAAAAAAATGAGGAAAAGATGGCAAATTATTTCTTTGGCTGTTTAAATGTTGTTTGGAAGGAAGGAAAAATAAAAAAAGATCTAAAGTTTTGAAATGAATTCGCTCAAAGGAACGGGAGTTGCATAATCCATAATAATAATAATTCAACGGATTCAATCCGTAGCTCGGTTCTCGGTTGCACAGGCCTTCCGGAAAGGCCTTTGACGGCAAAATGCAGGCCAGAGCTCCATTCTCAGCTGCAGAATGAAGCTGTTCCTTCAGCCGCAGTAGAAGTGGGCCAGTTGGGCAGGGCTGTCGGTGTCATCACCGCGAGGTGAGTGGAAAAGACCCGCCCACCCACCCCGAAAATAAGATCTGGTGCCTCTTTTGGAGGCAAAAAAAATAAGACTGGGTCTTATTTTCGGGGAAACACGGTACCTACATGGTTTGCTAAGTATTTAAATGTTACATTAATTGACTTTCAAGCTGTATAAAAGCAGATTGAAATATCTGGAACAATCTATGTCAATCTGTAGTGTTACTGAGCCAATAAAATGGGATAAGTAATATATCTACTAAACCAGAATTCCTTTGCAGAAAGGGAGGATAAATTAATTGGAGAATTTTTTTTCCTGTTCTGTTTGAAGGAGAAAATACCAGCTTCTATAATACAAGTATTTGGCTTTTTTCTTCCCCTCTGCAGCTTGCTTGTCAAACTGCTGAACATGCTTTGCAGTTAACAGTCAAAGATCCATGGATTTTGCTGGGCGGAGGCTGTACCGAAACTCATGTGTCCTCCTACATAAAGCACAAGGTTTGAGAGTTTCAGGGGGGGGGATATTTAAATTGTTTAAGGCTCCTCAATGTATACATGCTTATGAGTACAGATGAAACAGCTTAATGAGACTACATGCTGTCTATTATATAACATTTCAAACATGTATGTCTCTCTATATTTGTGTATTACAAAATCAATATTAAGGCTATGGATAAAGCAATTACTAGTGACTTCATGTTCATGTAATTTTCTGAGTAATAATGCAGAAATGATTTGCCATTGCCTTTTCCTGGCTTTTCATTTGTTTGGGGTTTTTTTTTTTTTGTTGTTGCTGTTATTGTTCCCAGTTTAGCTTGACTTTAGCTTGGGATCTCCTGGTGACCTCCCATCCATATTAACCAAATCAGGTCCTGTTTATATTGTTTTTTTTTCTGGATCAGCCAATTCTGGCTAGGTATTGCATTTGCAGGAAAAGTATGCAAAGGCCCTGTGTTGGAAAATAAATGCAAACCAGTTATGTTCTTTGACAATGCATTTGAAGGACACACAATTCTTTCCCAGCAATAATGTTACATTGAGACAGAACAGAAAACATTAATATGGGCACATTTGTTTTTTTAGGACTGTAATGGGACCTCAATTATCTCTTCATTTTCAGGCAATGAACCTTACTCATGCAAGAGGACTTACAAGTAGTCCTTGACTTATGATTGGTCACTTAAATGACCATATGAAGATACGACAGATCTTCCTATGTCCTACCTTTGAAGTTCCAGTGGTTGCTTCCCTCCCCTTGGCCACTTCACTTTGCAGCTGGCCCACATTTATGTCCATTTCTAAATCCCATGGTCATGTTTTTGATGCTTTTGCCAAAAGCCAGCATTTACTTCTGGTTTTCAGCAAAGCAGGCCTCTAGCGAACCATTGGTTTACTTAACAACCGCTGCAAAAAGGGTTGTAAAATTGGGTTGGTCACATGGGTGACTCACTTTACAGCCTCCATGACTTACAACCGTGAAGGGCAGGTTCCATTACAATCATAAGTCGAGGACTACCATCATGGTATTTGACACTTATCTGGGAGTTTAACTCATAAAGCACAATGGGTCTCCTTCCAGATAATCTTAAATTGAGCTATAAAACATAGTAGGTCAAAGAGTAACAACAACTTTCATTTCCTCCCTCTCTGTTCTAGAGTTGTAGTGTATCAGAAGGCACCTTGGAAGATCTAGGCTGTTCTTCAGAGGAATTCCACTTAGTAACTGATTGTTTTTGCCACTCACTGGAGTCCATTGCTCGCTCTCTGGAGCATGACAGTGGTGATGTTCTCACTGATACCCATTGGGGTCATTCGTGGTCTATTCCACCTAACATTCCTAGCAACTCTGAATGGTCAGATTTTGTTCAAAAGTGTGGGTGTGGGGTTTGCAACAAACAGGAAGGCCTCAACTGGAAGATGTTAAATTGTCGTTCTGTTTCTTTCCTTCCCCAAAATTGTGTGAATGAGTCCTCTCTCACCTCTGCTGATCAGCTTGTCCTAGATTGTTTTGCCGCAAAACGGAACGGTTTGCAAGTTGCAGTTGAGACAGCTCATCTCATTTTAGATATATCACATATAATTGAAGATTGTAATTAGTTGCGTGTGCATGTTCAGCAAGTGTGATGTATTTGTGCTGGCATTTCTAGGCCTCTTTCCAACCACATCCAGAAAAAATTGTAACAAACATTGGAATTCTCAAGGTCATGTTTGGTATTTCCCAACAACCTGTTACCAGAAGGAAAATGCAATTCCTGCTGCGTTACTGATCCCAGAGAAGCATTTGCATGTATCCAGGTATCCTTAGGGTGCCATAGTTATGGATGAGAAATATTGGTTGCAAAGTTGACATTTCTGGATGTAATATAGATATTTTGGACTTATTTTTGCTTCTTTGCATGTTTGATATTTTTAAAAAGGCATATGCTACTGACTACACTTATGCACATATGTAACATCTTTTGCTAGGATACATGATCACTCCTTGCCCAGAATGTGAAAAGTGAAAGTTTGTGACTAAACAAAATTTTAATGTACAGATAATACCACCAGAAATTATTTTAGCCTTTTTAATAAATGTTGTTATTGATGTTAAGCTCACCATGGAAAACATCGTATATTGTTATGTATATGCTAGGTTAATTATTTAAAGACTGAAGTGCAACATAATTAGATTCTAAATAATCTATTTTTCAAAACACACAACAGTCCAAACAGTAAAAGTAAAGTCCAAATTAAGAATATTTCATTCTTAACTTAAGAACTGTTTAATTTAAACTGGTCTAGTTGTAATAGATTGTTATAGATTCAAAATAGTTTTCAAGAGTATGTACAAAAAATACTATTTTTTTTTCTAGCATCAGCTAAATTAGATATATTACACTGAGAAAAGTGTTTCTCATTTCTTTCCTGTTACTTTTGTTGATTTCATTGCAGAGATGTTAACATAGGAAATAGATTATTTTGTTATCTAATTTTACCTTCCAAAAGACAGAAACAGATGGAAAATGTGAGGTTCTTTCCTGTTGGCTTTTTTGAGTGAGCTGTTTTAGATTCTAAAAGTTTAGCTCCTAAAGAAGTAACCTTGTAAATAATTTTAATGTCTTCCTCTAGTGTATATCATACCTTAACTGAAACATCAATTCTGCCTGCTTTCCTTCCATTTAACACATCAAAAGTGTTCCATACACAATTGGTAGTAAGAATGAATTGGTCCTGCCTATTTAAAATATAGAGCAGTTTTTTCCCCATCTTTGAACTGGGAATATCCTGGGATATGGTTAAAAAAAGTCACAGTGTTGGCTATCATAGTGCAATCAAAGTTCCACCATTTTTTATGTGTGTCACCTAGCATGGCTATCACCTTGAATATTTTTTACTAAACTCTGCATGCATCTCTGCTTTGAATATGAACAGCCATATTTTTTCCTAACACAATGTTTATATAAATATGTTTTTTAAAATTAGACACACACATGTCATTTTGTTAACTCTCTTCTTCATTAATATTAGCTACAAAATTTGTAGGTGATCTTGAAAAGTGAGCTGTAAATTCTTGCCTATGTCTCTACACCAGGGGTAGGCAATCTTGGCTCTTTTATGAGTTGTGGACTTCAATTCCCAGAATTCCTGGGCCAGCACAGCTGGCTCAGGAATTCTGGGAGTTGAAGTCCACGACTCATAAAAGAGCCAAGGTTGCCTACCCCTGCTCTACACTAACTTTTTTTTTTTTTTTAGAACTCTGCCTCCTGAATTGTTGAAATCAGAAAATCATTTTGTAAAATCACGAGTGGTCTAATAAAGACATTAACTGAGATGGAAATTTGATTATGGTTTTCTGTGTTTAATCTGCTATTTTTTCATAATTTTTCCAAAAGAAGAACTTAAAAATCATTTTGTTTAAAATCAAAATAAAGAATCACTGGCTTTAATATGCCCTCCCTAGGAGGATATATCAGATGTAAATCCGGTTCCACATTCCAAGTGCTTGAAATCTGATAATTGTTTTCATTCCCAAGAACATGTTAGAGGTGTCTCTCAATTGATAGCTTAGCTTCCACATGTCAACCACATCTGTAATCAAAGTACCTTTTGAAACCACATCGAAATCAGGGCAGAACAGAAAATCCTACTTAACATAATCAAATCTTAACCAAGGCTAATGTTATTCTGAATTTGTGCTATCCATTCGAATATAATTTCTGTAGCTGAGTCTTCTCTTAAGGAGGGCTTGTTTATTTCAGTTAAATTCTTGACTTGTTTATTGATGTCTGTATTTTGGGGATACTGTTTGCAAAGCAGTATATCAAAATGTTCTAATAAATATTCACTTGGTTAGTTCAAAAGATGTGCCATGCCATCTGGAAGCAATAAACTCATGCCAAGTGCAATCTTGCTTAATAAAACAAAACCAGCAGTTTTGTATGGAATGTGTTATATCTGGGAGTTGTCTTTATTTTTGAGTTTTGCTATATGTAAGGCACACGCTTGATAAATGCGCATAGTTCTGCTTTGAGCTATTTTGAACACAAACAGACAAATAAATATGCTAATCCAAAAATGAAATGTAGCTCTAAGCTACATTTGGTTTGCTCATCCAAAATAACACTGAACTGGTTGGGGTTTTACTTTGCACATTCCCATCTCCCCACTGAGGTCAGCCAATTCTTGAGTCTTCCATCTTCCATCCAATTGCTTAATTTTCAGCCCACTTGGGAAAAGTTGTTTCCAATCGTTTCCCCCATCAACGAAGTTTGAATTAGTCATACTGAACATCTTTTTTTTTGTTTCTGGTTTCTTTCCACTTGTACAAAAACTGCAACTGTAAGATGTCAAACTGAAACATATAATTAAATGGTGATCTTCCTACCACTTCTGTCTCTCTGGTTCCCTGACCCTACAATTTTTGTGGCAAGCAACCAACTTTTTTCTTTTTCTTTTCTTTCTAAGGGGAATAAATTAAATAAAAATTATAGCTTAAAGTGAATGGTCTGAAAATGTATTATAAAAAAAAAATCAAACCAGAGCATACCTTTGAAAGTAACCCATTTGGGGAAAGGAAGCTTTTAAAAATGCAGAGACAATGGTGGAAGTCAAATTTTCTCAGACAATTTATTCCCCTACAGCCCCAGCTCTGCCATTATAATTTCAGAGTTATCAAGCACATGCAAGCAATAAGATCAGAAATAATAAAGGCAAATGAGATCTACAAGAAAATGCCTGATGCCCAAGGGGAGGGGAGTTGTTCCCATCCTAAATTCTAAGTATTCCGGTACATTTTTCTCCACAAATAATCAGCCAAGAATTCTCCCCCCCCCCCACCATCACCCACATTTTTTTCTCGCGAAGAATTGTATTTCTTCAAATGTTGCACTTTTGATTTCATAACCGATGGCACTTTAGTAGTCAAGAAATGTTCAATTAAGCAGAATCCTGGACTTTGATCTTGCAAGTTTAATTCCAACATGGCAGTCCACACAACAGTTATTTTAAATATCACAGAGAGAAGATTAAATCTCCAATCCATTGCCTCCACACATTAGAATTTAAAATGTTCTGCTCTCGTGCAGAAAACTTTTAAGTAGATACTGTACTTGACAGTCCAGTCATATACCAGAAAACCCACGCTCAGCAATTGCAATACTTTCTCCTACAACCTTTTAAAGCAGGGATGTCAAACTCAATTTCATTGAGGGCCGCATCAGCATTGCGGTTGCCCTCGGGGCCGGGTGGGTGTGGCCAGGGTAGGTGCGGCCTACTGGGTGGGCGTGGATGGAGTTGGGTGTGGCCTACTGGGTGGGTGTGGCCAGCTCTACATCGTTCGCGTCAAGGGTGCCTGTGGGCAGGAGTGGGATAGATCTGAGGGTCTCTGGCAGAAGGGGGTGGGACCAGGGCAAGTGCCAAGGCATGGTCCACTGGAGGAGCCTCACTGTTCCACTCAGGCCATGCGGGGGGGGGGGCTTATGGAGCTAAGATTGAATGCGTTTCAGCATAGCTGGCCACCACAAAATTGTACATTGGCTCCCGGCTGGCCTGGGCCAGGGCCAAGGCAGAGGGGGCCATTCCCTCACTGTTTCCAGGATGGCTTCGCGGGCCACATGAAACCACTTTGCGGGCCGCATCCAGTCCCCGGGCCTTGTGTTTGACATGTCTGTTTTAAAGCCATGTGATAGATTTGTCGGAGAATTGACTCTTAGCAGCATAATGTTGCTGGCCACAGCAAATCCAAAGAGCTCCCCAGCATTAATTTAAATCTCTTTTGTTACCTTTCTAAATTCTTAGTCTTTCAAGGAGCTAGGCTTTGTGTTTGGAAGAGGAATGCCTAGATGACAAAAAAAACAAAAAACTAATTACTGGGCCTCAAACAACATTTCTGGAAGTGCAAGGAATAGGTTTTCTGCAAATGAGCAAAAAAAGCAAAGCCTTGGGCAAAAGGGCTATTTTTGTACAGGGAAAAGAAGTGCATTTGGCTTATCATAATCGCATAAGAAGGACTTTTCTGTATCTGTCTAAAAGCATAAGCGGATTTATTTTTAGGGAAGAATCGGTGCTTAAATAGCCAGAATAAAAGAGCTGGGGATGACAGTTTTTGAGTTTACAATTGTTAAAATGCACAAGCGTTTCATATATCCATAAGTATTTGGATTCGTAAAGTGCCAAGGAAAAAACTCTAGAGCAGGACATTCACTGAATTATGCAAGGGTTTCTAATCCGTTGGACTAGTGGGACAATAGCTGCAGCAGGCTGGAAGAGTTGCTTCATTCATAAAAGTGGGCTTCTGCAAGGGAGAGAAATATGAAATTTGTATTGTAATGCCACCTTGCAAATGTTGCCCTTTTTGGGGCCATGTGTTGCAATGTCACATGCAGATATCCCTGGGATAGAGCCTGCAGAATGACATCACGGTGTATATTTCATCATTGTGATGAATCCTCTAGATTTGATAGATGCCTCTGCAGGGCACATATTCTTTTAGCCAACCAGCAATCCAACCCAAGGGCTGGGCTGTAGCCATCCTCCAGTTTTCTGTATAAAGAAAGCTACTCGAACCTCTTACAGGCATCGAAGTATTCTTAAAAATAAGGGAGATGTGAAGGGTGGCACCTTCTTTTATAGTACATAGGTTTCTTATTTTTCAAATAAAAAAATGTAAAAGAAGACCCTACTTAGGGTAAAGGAGCCATTCAAAGGATGAGTTGCATAAACCTGAAAGTGGGCAGGTGGAATAGTGGAGAGTGGATGGTGATGGTGGTGGTGTTGAGGAACCTAGCCAAAGCTCTTTGTTGTTTCTGCATTGAAATCACAATGATCTGGCACCACTTTCCTGGGCTATTTTCTTCTCTCTTACAGACAACAACAAACAGGATATTTTTAAGA